TCACAATACCCATGGCCACTGCAATTATGCTGGCATGAGGGCTCTTGAGACGTAAAGCAAGTCTTCTCGTCGGAATGAGCTTTTTGTTTCGCAAACGTATATACCCCTTGCTCAGACTAACCAAATCCTTAGTACTCTGGGTCTCTGGAGCCCCTCTGACTACAAGCTTTTCTCAATCGTCCTCTGGTTAGGCAGACACAGTCGAAACCATCTAGATTCAGCGCCATCACACTACTACACTCAAGACCATGTCCTCATCTTTCACGTACCCGCCTTCCATAGCTTACCCCCCACCTCCACCAACTAATAATGCTCTGACTGCTGAGCAGCGAAGCCATCTCATACGGTCATCTAAGAAACTTGAACGAGTCCTTGGTGATACTCCACGTTTCGTTGACAGTGAAAATATTGAGGGTATGTACCAAGCCACTCGGTTGATCGATACCATGCTGATAATGCGCCTTTGTCTAGCCATGAGCCCGCGGTCTCCACGCAGCTCTATCAGCCGCTCGTCGGTAGATTCACAACTCTCGAACTCATCATCTCAGTCACCGAGGGTTCCCTTGTCATCGAATCCCTTCGCATCTCCTGATGAAATCAAAGCTGGGAATTCATGGCGCAAATCCAAACGTCTGCCACCTCTTCTTAGACTAGCCATAAACGGTACATCCCGATCCCCGACGACATCGAATCTCTCGACAATTCCTGAATCTCCTTCCATCCCTGTGACCAATGTTGGTCATTATCGTGTTTCTTCCGCTAGCGGCACACACCCCTCTCAATCAGTGGCCTATTCCCCGGGTATACCCACTTTCACGATCCCTTCAGACTCGTCGATGCGTCGAGATAAAATGGACCGGCTAAGGCGGAAGTTTGGGGACGACGTTCCTGTGGATCTCGTCTTCCCCCGCGAGAAGGTCCGATCTCGCAAGCATCAGCGCTCTGATGCGGTCAATGTCATCACTATACCAGCCGATTCGCGCATCCCGCATTCTCCTCAGCACACTGTGATGATCAAAACATCGACTGTTTCTCGAAAAACTCAGCCTTCTCTTAAGGGCTCCGGACCCCTTTCGTCGATAATCGAGTCAGCAGAGCTGGGTGTAGAGTCTGGGGAACAGCAAGGCTTGCTTGGACCCAGGAGGAGACCAACTGCTGGTTCTTCTATCGGATCGAAGGAGTATTTGGCGCATCGTCGACAAAAAATGAATGGGCACCCAGCTATTGAGCCTGTTGGTTTCTTAGGCACGACATTCTAGTCGTCTCGAGTAACAAAATTGGGCTGGATCCCGGCTGTCTAGTATACATGCCACGATTTTTTCCCTCCACGGTAATGTTTCAGCTTATGACTCGGATGTATTAGGACATGTATTTTACTGATTTTGTATCGCTCTGCTTGTCATGTTATGTTTTACTGCTCTCATATTTCACTTTGATATTTTATCCGTTTTAATAGTTGCACTCGTCATGTCTTCATCTTTACCCGTATGCTTTCACATGTATACTTCATTCGGGTGCACGCAAACCTTTCATTTCCAAGTTCACATCAGAGTGCCCGGTGATCTTCCAAGCCAAGTTAAATTCAGACGTTTTGGGAAGGACATACCAACCGTGAAATAAGTTTAGACTTACCGACTTTGATATTATTGGTTGATAACGCCTCTAGTTCACGAAACTGTACAACAAATACGTCTTATCATGATACTACATGTGTGATACTTGTATATGCTCCCTTGCGCTTGACTTCCATCGCCGATCTCAGCAGAAGCTTTGCTAGGTTACTATCCGCTAAATTCCTCCAAAGTAGCAGTTCCGGTGCGGGATCGCCAAGTCACTTCAGATATGAGCGAAATCAGGCGGGAAGAACGACCAGATCCTTCCTTAGTGCCACCTTTGGACCCCACCTTACTACACCTTTCGAGGGAACAACTGTCATTCCTACAGTCGGTCGTCTGCAGTGATGAAAAAGAGCTGAGGGACAGAATCATGGAAGTTCAGAAAATGTGTGTGCTCACCATTTAGCTGTAGCTCTATTCTGTAAGATAGCCTATACTGATGATGCTGTTGCAACAATTGTGAGTTCATAGTGAGTTTATATTCTTGCAATAGTTGTGAGGCAGGAATTCTTACCTGATTATCAGCGAAAGGTACCCTTACCCGTGCATCCGACATTTTCACTTTGTCTCACTTGCAATGAGAGATAACGCGGTTTATGAAAACGTCTTGGAGATGGGGAAAGAAGGAAACACCTTGTTCCTTGACATGGGTTGTTGCAGTACGCGACCTTTCGAAAACAGATGCCGATAAATTCTCGCTTACGCATAGTTCGCTAGTGGGTACAGATGTTCGCAAACTGGTTCTCGACGGCTATCCGGAAGGAAACATTGTTGCAGTTGATATCCGCCAGGAATACATTGACATAGGGCACCAGCTCTACCATGATAAAGATACTTGCAAAATCCGCTTCTCCTCGGGGGACGTTTTTGACATTCCACTTTCATCGGCCATCTCGGCGCAATCTAATGTTTCGCTGAGTGCAGTCGTGCACTTGTCACAGCTTCGGGGCTGTATAACGCATGTGTATACTGGGGCGCTATTTCACCTTTTTGATGAGGCAACCCAGTATGCGATTGCGCTTCGACTGGCTACTTTGCTTGAAAGGACAAGAGGAGCGATGGTATTCGGAAGACATTCGGCGTTGGAGGAGGAGGGCATGATTGAAGATCCGATGGCAAGGTGGCCATTATCTTTTCAGCGTTTCGAATAAATATCGATGAAACTCACATTTCTGGTGTAGAGTACGATATGGCCATTCGCCCAAGTCATGGCCACGTCTTTGGGAAAGAGTGTTTGCCAAACTGGATGGTGTAGAATTTGCTGAAACTCGGGTTGTGGTTAAAGCCGAGCTGAGAGAGTATTCTGGATCTGCACTTCAGACTCGGATGATGTATTGGTCTGTCTCCATCACATAAACCATGCTAGAGCTTTACCATTTTTATGATTAGGGCTTCCAGGGGCGGAAACGTTAGCCATATAAATGAGTAAGTAAAATGAATTTGAGTTGTCAAACATACCTGTCGTCGAAAGGTGTCTACGTCATTGCTTGCTAGTCTCTAACTCTAACTCGAGACTTAAGTGGCATCTAAGACACGAAGAACAATAGGTTCGCAGATAGTATTACATGATATCCCTATATTAAAATTCTGAAGAAACACATAAGTCTGAGTGAACATGCTAACGTTAGTACAGACGCGGTGACTGTCAGATTCACTCGGCGTACCAATGTCCAACATATCTCAGACCTGTTCTGCAGAAGAGCTCCACCAAAAACCGGAGAGTTTATACAATATCCAAAGCCCAATCACTCCACCAACTATGTAGAATATGATGCGCGTTTGTTTCACACCTCCTGGACCAAGACCGAATGCCTGACTTGCACGTCGCGACGACTGTGATAATGTAGCGCCGAATGAAGAGAATGAATTTGACTGTCAATAATACGGTTAATATAAGATAGATTTGTTATGGTGCAAGACCCATACGGTGTCGTCCAATGTCAGGTTTTGACGTTCGGCATCGTCATAAATGTCGGTGGTGACCTGGTTGGTCGATGAGTACTGTACAAAGAAAGAGCCGTGATATCTATGACTTACACCTCTCAAAGTCCTGATTTTTGAGTGGAGCTCATCTAGTCTTTGGTCATTTTGCGCCTCGTATGTGTCCTCTACCCTCGACGTCGACATGAATGAATATAGTGGTACGTGGGAAAGTGAAGTAACAGGCTTTTGAGTAGTCTCCTACCCAACCGTTTCTGGCAAGTGAGCACAGCCGCAAGGGCTGGCACTCCTATTTCAAAGTCCGCCACCTCTGGAGCTGAATTCATGTTCCTGCACTCCAGTCTAAATTCATATTGATACTATAGCTGGACAATAGGTGTAATTGGTCTGAGGAGAAGTTGAGTTACTCACCAGTTGTTGAACTTGAGACCATCGGAACTTGACCAGTAGATGTAGCTGCCTATGTAGAAAAATAAGCAAGAAATTGAAGTGTTGGGGCAGTGGAACAAAACTTGTCAGCAAGATTCTCTGCACTCCTTTCACAGGCTTTTTGGTGGGAGGACCAGCCATGAGATGCAACTCCCACCCCACATATGTCACAACTTCTCTTGCGGTCAGGAGCCATTTTGCTGTAGAATTATATACAAAAGCAGAGATATGTACAGGGGAGGGGAGTTGTATGGAGGAGGTAAGTTGATGTACAGAGGAAGACAAGCCGCATTGCAAGCACATTGAGAGACCATCAAAATGGATTGAAACTCAGCCACGTCAATCCTGGGTGGTGGGCTTATGACAGCTGAATTCAGATTGATAGGCCGGAAATTTTGAAAATTACAGGCATAGGAGTTTTACTGGCTTTCAACTGAGTTAAAATATTAGACTAAAACTTGAAAAAAGACTAAACAAGTGATCAGCGTTGGTTGTGGCTGAGAGACAGAGCTTGCAAATGACAAGTCCGAGACTAGTACTTCTACAGCAAGAAAAACCATTGTAAATAGACAAAAAATGGTTCGACATTGATCTCATAACACCAATAAGCTATAGAGTGAATATATAAGTAAGGCCAGCATAGGGCAAAGCAGCAAAACTTACCCATCATGGCCTCTCAACCTGTAAACCTCTACCTCAATGACCCATAAAATGTGCCACAGATGCCACATCAGGAAAAACACTTTGGCTATATAGACTCTAATAGTACTATAGTTGCAAATATAGTTGTCATAGTGATCATAGCTGCAATAGAAACCCCAACATCTATTCAGGAACAATGTGTAACAACCTAGAGTTTGTATACTCTGGTGCACAACTAGAACCAACTATAAAGGGGAGTGGTTACCCTTAGGATAGGACCGAGTTAGTTGTGGGTAAACAATAGGAGGACTCACTGAGGAGTCTCCTGGATCTATTGAGGTATTTATACTACTACAGGTTGTTTGTACATGTTGTACTATACAGTTGGTAAAGCAGTGGCTGATGATATCAGAGGGTGCAGCCCGTGTGACCAGCTCCACTGCATGAGAGACTTGTAGCTAAAAAAAGAAGAAAGGCAGCACAGCGCGAGAAAGAGGAGTTTGAACAAAAGGAAAGTGCCGCATGGCATAATGTGAGAAAACTACAGTAAAAGGTTAAAGCGGAGAATGAAAATAAAAGGAAAGGTCCGAAAATGTGTTATTGTAACACAATGTGCTCTTATAGTACTCTTATAGCCTCTTATAGCACTTATAGCACTTATAGCATATGGCTGACTATATGAGCTATGAGAGAGCTTGTGGCTGATTTAAAAAAATAATCACACACACAAGGTTTGAACTCTCAACCTGTTGGTCCGCCTTTTTGCTGACCTATCAATGTACAGCCACATACCACACATTTATCCACTACACCATAAAAGCTTACAAAATATACTGTAACAACCAAGAGTTAGTTACTCTGGCGCACACAGGAACACATTATAAAGGTAGTGAATGGGGAGTGGTTACCCCTTAGGCTGCAGAGAGTTTGTTGGTTAACAACAGGAGGACTCACTGAGGAGTCTCCTGGATCTATTGGGGTATATATACTAATACAGAGTGTTTGTACTTATGTACTGTACAGTTGGTAAAGTCAGTGGCTGATGATGTCATGGGGTCTAGCCCATATGACCAGCTCCACTGTGTGAGAAAGTTGTATCTAAAAATAAGAAGAAGGCAACGTGGCGCGAGAAAAAGGAGTTTGAACAAAAGGGGGAAGTGCCGCGTGGCACCATGTGTGAAAGCTAAAGTATACAAGGTTAAAGCGGAGAATGAAAATGAAGGAAAGGTCCAAAAATTGTGTTATCGTAACAATATACTATACATACATGTGTAATATATTGACCTTCCATGGACTTGTCATTTCTTTTTACACATTGTCACAACTTATACTTGGATAAAGCATTGCTATAAATATGTACTATGGTCTTAACAGCTATATAGGCTATTATAGCTATAAGAGCCATTATAATGCCTTGGCTAGCTATACAATATTATACTGGTGTTATGTGTGCTCAAACCTATAATACTATGAGAGCTATAATAGCATAAATAGTATTACCTTTGCTATATAGTACTATTAGAGCTATAATAGTATAAATAGTATTGCCTCTGCTATATTGCCAAAGTGTTTTTCCTGATGGGCTTGAGTGAGGAATAGTATACCTGGCCACCACTGGTAAATTATTTTGAGATTTAGTTTGTGTTACCCTTGGAATGTGCAAGCCTGGTAACACTGGGTTTTGGATATACAAGTGGTTTCTGATAAGCTCGTTGTGAACGAGTTTGAGACGTATTCTGATGATGAGGTTTTGACTGATGAATACCAAGTTACACTGTTGAAGTGTACAATTGTATTGGAGATAGTAACTACAATACAGGCCTATATATATAGTGTCTACTTTAGGGTAGGTGTTTGTGTTGAACAAACAAAGACGGGTGGTACCGTAACAGGCAATAGATGTGGGAAGGATAGGTAGGTAGCAGAGTGTAGCTACTGTAAGAGAAATAAAAGTTCATGGTGAATACAGTTTGTAACAGTTTGTAGTTATGGCTTATGTATAAACTCAGTATCTATCCTCTACTCCATTGTTGGTTACACTTTAATGTATAACCCTACGGTAATATCTAATATGGCTAGATATGCCTTGATTGTTATGATTTCTATTGGACAAATGTTATGGACTATTCATTTCTCTTTACTCATTGGTTATACTATCGGACCGATGACTCATCTCCTTCACGTACATTTCTGTTCCTCTCGAAGTCACATTACCAAGTATAGTACTCAGTCCTCAACGGACAGACCTAGATAGGACCTAACTCCTATCACCGGTTCTCTTCACTATATATACATGTGTAACAGTAGTAGTATACTTCAATATGATTCTACACAGTTTAAGCTTACAAAGCTAGACTCCTAAGATCAGACTTCTACTCAGAAGAAGACCAACTCTCGTTGGAAGAACTCTACTCAGAACTATGTCCTCAAACTTGTCTTTGGATAAGTCTCTTTGAACCCTTGATGAATCCTCAGACTTTGTTAAGCACTTTGTGCGTAACATTGATCATGCTTATAACTTGGATAAATGTTACCTTAGCTTGGTGCTCTCCACCTCTGCAGTTTCCACTGCTTGTCTGATGCTGTTACGCACAAAGTGTTCAATTGAGAACTTCTGGGAAGTGTCTATCCACTTGCTGAGAGCTAACAGGGACAGAACTAGAGTCCAGTATGAGTAACTGTATTATCAGAGAGTACAGAATGTGTACAGTACCTAGAGTCCAGTATGAGTAACTAAAGAATAGGAATACTGGACTCTGCAATACTAGTCCGAAGTTTTGTGAACAAAGGTAAACAAATCAGCCACAAAGGCGAAATTATAGAATGCTCAGTGAATACTGAACAATACAGCAAAAAGAATAAAGAGGAAAGTGATTTAGAAAAAAGGGAAAATAGATAGCACAACTAGGTGCAGAATCACCAAAACTAACGCTCTCCCCTGATGCTGCACCTCCCAAGCATTAGCTCCCCCCTGATCTAACAAGTCCCATCATCTGTCTGAACATGTCAACTTTAGGCTTAGCCAGAGCCTTGGTCAACAAATCAACAGGCATTTCAGTAGTGGGCACAAAGGTGGGAGCAATTTGGCCAGAGCCAACAATATCTTTCAACCAATGCCAGCGTAAATCAAGGTGCTTCATTCGACCATGGTGTTCAGGATTCTTGGACACAGAGATGGCAGATTTGTTGTCAATGTGAAGGGTGGAAGGAGAGGTGATAGGATAGCCCATTTCCTTCAGCAGATTTTATGGTTCAATAATTTCAGACTCGTATAGAAAAGGTCTATATTTGGGAACATGTACCTATGGTTCAATAATATTTAGGTACATGATTAGTAAAGTATTGTAGTTGGGATAGGCTATGAGGTACTCACTTCAGACTCGTATAGAAAAGGTCTGAAGTGAGCCTCTGTGTGCAAGTGGCTTATATACTGCTGCTCGCGCCAAAGCGTCAGTCTTACAAAAATCCTTGTCCCGCTTTAAAGCGTAGACATACAAGCATATATACAGAAATCCTATTGTTTGTTTAGTAGCTTAGTGAAGCGGCAAGTAGCTTGTCCTCGCTTGTATTCCAACACTCCCCTTCAAGCGGGGTAAAGTCCCAGTGAAGCCGCGGAATGTTTGGCCTTTCCATTTGGGAGGGCCTTGGTTAATGTATCCGCAAACATGTCATCCATAGGGCAATAAATTAGCCTAAGAGACTTTTGTTCAACGGTGAAGCGAATGAAATGATATTGAAGGTCAATGTGTTTTGTGCGGGCATGATACCTTTCATCCTTCGTCATGGCGATGGCTGCTTGGTTGTCGGAGTATAGGGTTGTAGGTTCCCTTAAAGGTTCAAATACTTCTCCGAGGAATCGTCGCAACCATAATCCTTCCTTGGCGGCATAAGTGGCGGCGACATATTCAGCTTTGGCAGTCGATAGTGTCGCAATTTCTTGTTTCTTGGAGCTCCAGGATACGGCTCCTCCATCAATGAGATATGAATATCCTGATATGGCGCAACAGTGTTCTTGTGTCACTCCATCAGCGTTGGTATATCCTTCTAAAATGTGACGTGTTCGCCCATAAGTCAGTACCCAGTTTTTGGTTCCAAGCAGGTAACGGAAAACGCGTTTTACTGCTTCCCAATAGCT